CTGTACTGGACACTGCTCAGGGATCCCAGCTAATGTAGGAAGCAACAATAAAATCAGAATATCCCCATTTTGTAACCTCCAATGAAATAATGGATCTAGGCAATGACTAACATCGCAGAAAGCAAAACAACCTGACAGAAGTATGTCACAATACCACCTATGAATTATTCTCACACATGAACAGACAAAAAGGACTAATCAAGCCTCTCGATCTTATTACCAATTGACAGGAAATACAGAGGAAAGAGGAATATATTAAAAGACAGCATGGGAATGTAATCACCAAATTCAAACTATAGGAAACTCTACGGGAACAACCACCTAGATTATTCAACAAGAAAAAAAATGGGGGAAATGGGGAATTATAGGTTTAAAGAGGCCTAAAATACTTATCAACCAACTACAATGTATGAATCTTAGTTGGATCCAGATTCCAACAAATTGTAAAAAACAAATGAGACAATGATAGTGTGAAATCACTGTTGATTTTTTAGGTGTAATAATTATGGTTATGTTAGTAAAAAAAGTTCTTTTTTACAGATAAATACCGAAATATATACCAATAGTATACGCTACGCTATCTGGGACTTGCTCCTTAAAACATAAGGTAAGGAAAGTTGGTGAGCATAAATAAAATAAGATTGGCCATGAGATGATCGTTTTTGAAGCTTCGTATAGGGTGCATTATTCCTTCTCTCTGCTGTTGTATATGTCTGAAATTGTCATAATTAAAATCATTTAAAACTGAACAATTTTAAAAGATATTCTTGATTTCAATTTTAAAAGATATTTTAAAAGACCATGTCATACTGGATTTCTTCCCTCAAATCTGGTCATTGTGACCTGGGAATACATTCAATGCTATTCAACTAGTCTATGATGAACCTCAGCCTGACATTCTGCTATAAGCACTGTAGGGGATATAAAAGAAATTAAGTGACCCAGCCCTTGCCAACAATTTCTTTCAAGTGAAGATTTACAACCAAGAGACACTGAGACATACAATTAATAGAACAAACCAATACACAAGAAATGCCATACTGAATGTTATCGTCCAAAATACAAGGGGCAGTGACAAAGTGCTGTGGTGAGGGAAAATCAACAGTGATTAATTTAAACCTGAGATAACATTTCACACCCACTAAAATAGCTATAATAAAGATGGGTGCAGAGTAGCTGGAATGCTCACTCATTGTAAGTAGGGATGTAAAATGGTGCCATACTTTGGAGATCTGTTTGGCAGCATCTTTTAAAGTTATACATGACCTAGTAATTCCATTCCTAGGTATTTATCCAAAGGAAATGAAAACATAAGTCCACAAAAAGACAATGTTCATATCATCATTTCTGGCTATTAGAAGCCTCCTTCATAATAGCCAGAAACTGGAAATAACCCAAACGTCCATCAACAGGAGAATGGATAAACAAATTGTGATATAGTCATTTAATGTAGTATTACCAAGTAATAAGAAGGAGCTACAGACACAACAACAGACATAATGCTGAGTGAAAGAAGCCAGACACAAAAATGATATATTCTATAATTCCATTATATGAAATTCTAAAACAAGCAAAACTAACCTATGGAACTTTTAGAGGGCAGGGGTGAAAATGTTCTAGATCTGTGGCTACATGGGGGTATACTGTTGTTAAAAACTCCTTGAACTTAACCCTTAAGAGCTTTGTGTTTTATTTTACGTTTAAAAAAGCATGAATGAGAAAACTAGGGCTTAGATAGTAAAGACAGGTGCCCAAAGTAATTTGCTAAGAGGAATCAATGCAGGATCTGAGGCTAGGGAATAATATGATGAAAAAGAAGGTTAAAGAAGACCTGTACACTATGATTTTGTACACCGTATTTTGGTATAGACTCTAAACTTTATTATTATTTTTAAAAAATACATATACTTTATTTTTTTAAAGAATTTTTTGATGTGGACCATTTTTTAAAGGCTTTATTGAATTTGTTACAATATTGTTTCCGTTTTATGTTTTGGGATCGAACCCACACCCCCTACACTGGAAGGTGAAGTCTTAACCATTGGACCACCAGGGAAGTCCCTAGACTCTAAACTTTAGAGGGGAATGGCAGTAGGAAATCTTGTTGGAGGTATCCCAATAAGAGGTATTTCTCTGGAGGTATCACAGAGAAATAAAGATATAAGTTAATGAGACCCCAGATGAGAACAAGGGTAATGGGAATAGAAAGAAAATCAACAGAAAGATGTATCAAAAGAAAAATTAGCTTCTATAAGAGAACAATGATTTTAAAGAACTGGGTTCCAGGTAACTGGTAGATTGATGGGATCAATATATGAGATGAGTATTGGGAAGATGGCTTAAGACAGAAGATGCTGTATTTAATTTTAGAAACACAGAGATGAGGTATCAAGAGAAATTTTAAATCACGAGTGTGCCAACTAAAGGATGTCACTTGCCTCCTGGTTCTACAAGAATTAAGTCATTAGCCACTGCAGTCGCTGACTTTCAACCCAGCCTGAAAGGAGTTCAAGGTGGAGACAGGAATGAGGCACATCAGCAATGTGCTCTGGGAAAATTAATAGAACAGGCCTTTAGATAGTTAGGTATTTCCAGGAGAAAATTTTATGAACCCAAACTCTTGCATCTTCCCATACTTAGAAAAGCACTAAAGCCATTAACTAAGATATCTGTTCCTCTTAACTAGCAGCAACCTTCTACCGAGATGTGTGCTTGATTACCCTTTGCCAAAATCACATACATGCTGACCTCCCCCACTTACCTTTGGAGCAGTTCCTCAGTGCTATCTAAGAGGCTGTCTCCTGGGCTAAGGTCCTCAGTAAGTCCCCAAATAAACTGAACTCACAGCTCTTATGTTGTGTGCTTTTCCTTCCGTTGACAAGGGATTTAGTTGTAAAAGATTGCAAAAAGAGATATGGAATAAGTTACCTACATGGAGAACGACAGTGGAAGAATGAATAATTCACAAAGGAACCCTGCTAAAAAACCTATCATTTGTATAGTAGTTCACAGCTAATTGCTTTATTTATTTAACATACAAAAATGTATTTAACATACAAAGAAGAAAGAGAAAGATGGAGAGAGAAACCTATTTGAAGGTAGAAAGGAAAGTGTTTTGGGAAAGGAGCCTGACAGTTTTAGAGAAGTACTAAATACAAATGGATTCAAAGAAAGTAGAACCTTGTATACTCCCCAGACAAGCAGAAATGCAGAATGTTAGAAATGCAGAATCTCGGGTTCCGTCCCAGACCACTGAATTAGAATCAGCATTTTAACAAGATCCCCAGGTGATTCTTACACATTTTTAAGTTGAGAAGCCCATCTAGAATACAGTATTTTCTTAAACTGCAGGTCTCAACCCATCAGTGGGTTATGAAATCAACTTGGAATAGAATTCAAAATACCAGAGCATATCACACACAGTTATTTTGTGTTGTATGGGACCATGAGGTAAAATTTTTTTGTGTAGGTTGAGATTTAAAAAAAGGTTTACAAAACACTGAACAAAAGTATAGTAATAACCTCTTCTTTGGACTAAGGGAGGACTAAGAGAAACTGAGAATCCATATGTATTGAAATGACATAAGCATTCACTTGCTAATGTTTCTCAAGACTTTTTGGACAGTGACCCACACTAAGAAATACATATGAACTAATATCACATCCATGCATGTAATATACATACAAAATAAAACCCAAAATTTCACAAACAATCCTCTTGCCCAGAAGTATACCCTGATATCTCTATTTTTTTCTTTTTCTTGTTGCTTGTGACCCACGGACTTATTAAACTGATTTTACCACTAGTGACTGTTTTATAGCTCATTACTCAAAATTTGAAAAACAATGACCTTCAACATGCTGCTTGGCCTCAATCCTTAGCTAAGATGGTGGTTCAGAAGGACTGAAGAGGTTAATGGCTATTATGCATGATAAATACACTAAAGAGCTGATGAAATAACGATAGACTTCCTTGGCAGTTTTTTTTTTTAAATGCTAAACTAACGTTGCACTGCATCAATTGTTAGTTTTTGTCCCTCCCTCTTAAGGCACAAAGGAGGAAATAGCAGATAGGGCTAATGAGGGTTGGAAACTGGTGAAGAACCACGGGAGGCGGGATGGAGATGAAGGAAACACTGCTAGTACCAAGAACTAGGGCACTGATAACTAACCTGCCTCAGTCAAGGAAGTGAGGCTGGTCCAGGATGCTGGCTCAGAAATGCAGGTGCTAACTGAACACGCTCCCAGCTTTGTTTCCTGAAGGCCGGCTGAGATACTACACCTTGGCGACAACTAGCAAAAGCTCACAGTCTAGTTCCTGGGAGGCCCCGGTTCCCTAGGCTACGTTTTTGTGCTGTACTCGGAGTAGCCTACGTTAGGGGCTGGGAGAAGCAGGTAACTGGGGCATGAACGATGGAGAACAGAGCTTATTCCAAGAATCCGAGAGAGAGGGGGGCCAAGATGCTGCTAGGCCTTCTCTATGACCGCGGGGGTTCGAACACAGCGAGACCCCGGACAAAGGCGGCCTCCTTCTGGATCAAGGAACGGTCCCGGAATGAAAGCAGGCACAGCACAGACCCCGGGGTCGTCTGGCTGGGCCAGCCCCTGCTCTCGAAGCCCTTTTGGGGACCCCCCCTACATCCCATCAACCCTCGCGCGGAGCCCCGAGGCTGTCAGCCCCCTCCAGGCTCGGGAAAGGCGTGGTTTTCCTTCCCGGCTTCTCCCTTAACGCACAGCGGCCAGCCCAGTACCACTGCGTCTTGGCAAGGCTGGAGGTGCTCCCACCTTCACTTTAATTAGCATCTTCTTCCCAGTTTGGGGCTGCACACAGATAAACTGCTGCTTCTACCGCTGCGATCGCCGATGCAGCTCCCCAGCCCTCAGCCTGTGGGAGTCACTTCTGCTTCCGGGTCACTGCCTGGCTCCACCCCCCCACCCCCCACCCCGCACCTCGCTCCTCCCACTTCTTTCCACGGGGTTCCGGAAAGGCTCAGGAATGCGTCCGCGTTTCGTTTCTGTGGCGTCGTAAAAAAAAAAACAAACAAAAGGAGGCGGCCCGCCTAGTTACAGAAGAGATGACGCCTCTGCAATTCTGAGAGTCCCCAGCAAGCCGGGGCTAGTATAAAGCGAGGGCGGAACGAACGACTCCTCCCATCATGCCAGGGGGCAGCTCCGCGCGTCCCACCCTGGGAGTTATAGTTCCCTGCCCCTCAGATCCAGCGGCATCCTCAGTGTGTGAACTCTGTTACCCAGAAGGCCTCCAGCACCGAAGCTGGAATTCCTCGGTTACTCGTTCTCTCCGGCAATTAGCGGAACCTGTTAGCGCTGCCCACAAGGCTCAGCGGGGCTGCGCGAGGTTAGTGGCTAATCAAGAGGAGCTTCGGTCAACTGCCACCTGGCCCCGGCGACAGGAAGTGAGTACCCCTATTCCGGAAGCTGGTTTTGGGATCCCACCACTCCTTCTCACTCCCAAATCTGCCTCTTATCCCAAACTGCTCTTTGCAGGGGCGGGAGAAAGAAGAGTAGTGGGGTAAGGAACGCACCATTTAGGGTCACTCACGACTCCATCCCAGTTCTTCTCCCCAACAAATAGTACCTAGGTTGAAGACACCGAGAGTAAGTGAAACCACCCGAATCTGAGGTGACGGTCTTCAGGGACTATGCCTCGATCAATGCCCTGACCTTCCACAATTTAAGCGAGGAGAGAGATGAGCCCTGCCGCCAGCCCTAACAGAACACTAAGTTCTAAGGGAAAATTGGCTCAGCTACCGCCTCCTGACTTTTCCTACCTTCCAGCCCTCAGATTCGCTGCTACCCTTAGGTGCCTGCCATGCCTCACATCGACAACGACGTCAAACTGGACTTCAAGGATGTCCTGTTGAGGCCCAAACGCAGTACCCTTAAGTCTCGAAGTGAGGTGAGCCTGCTTCTCTAGTTGCTCTTTCTTGATCCCAAGCTCCTGGAGGGCCAGGACTGGGAAAGATTCCTGGCTTTTGCCCTCCTGCAATACTTGTTTTTTGGATAAATGAAATGCTTAGTTTCCTGTTCATATCTGCAGGTGGATCTCACAAGATCCTTTTCATTTCGGAACTCAAAGCAGATGTACACTGGGATCCCCATCATTGCAGCCAATATGGATACTGTAGGCACCTTTGAGATAGCCAAGGTTCTCTGTAAGGTAGGACTTCCCTCATACCCCTTCCTCATGGTGTCCAGTTTTGTGGGCTGACTGCAGAGGTATCTGCATCCCCACCCCCATCCCAGGTCAACTCTGGCAGTTAACAGTCAGGATGCTCAATTTCTGTTTTTGCAGTAGTATTAAGGCCCCTTTATCTGATAACTTTAAAGGGCCATCTGAGTTAATGAGATTCAAAGCTAAATTTTGCCCCCATTTTAACAGAACTTTCCCTTTTCTCCTGTCCAGCAGTTTATACATCCTGCCAACTTTTCCCACCACCCAGATCACCCTCTCCAAATCACCGGCATCCCTCTTTACACTATTGTTAGGATACTCAGCATTCACTGTTTTAGTCCAGAAACTAGATATAGTTTGAGCATTCAAAAATTCCTAACTAGAAGATCCTAGAGAGAAGAAGTTTATTTTCTTTCATGCCTGTTTTTTTTTTGTTTTTTTTTTTTTAATCTTCCTCTTCTTTAAGTCCTAGGTTCCTGGGTGTTTCTGGGATGTGCCCAAAATGGAATGTGTTTTTCTTATATACAGGTTATTGCTCATTTTCAAAATGGAAGCTGCTGCTCCTTTCAGTAATATTACCTGCCTCTATATTTGTAGCTGAGAAGGTAGATAGTTTGGGCATCCTGAGGACATATGCACTCTTCTGGTTAATCCAGGTAGCCCTGGTTGATGGATTCTGCTGCTGCTTGTGGCTCTGTCAGCCTTAAGGACTTCATCTCCCTTTCTCTATTTTTGATTGCTGTAAGTCTCTGTGGAATGTCTGCTGTCATTTCTCTGAGGTTCATAGTTATGCAGCTTTAGTACTGTATTACTATTGCCATTTACCAACTGCTTAGGAATCCCACTGTTGCCCGTTGTCCACCTGGCCTGTCCAATAGAGTTAAGGAATGGTGAATCTGACTTCAGTGTTAACAAATGTCCTATAATGTATGGACCTTGCCGGGACTGTCTTGATGCTTTATGCTGAGACTGGCTTTTCATTACTGCTGAGTGCTGAAGAAATCAGATTTTAGAGATACAGCCAAGTCTCAGTAATAATTAAAAGTTTGGATGCAAGCAAGGATCTTTTTCTAGATCTCTAGCTTGGTATGTAATTGGATATGCTCATCATGCCACCCTATGCCAGTATATCTCCAAGGTCTGCTGACCTCCTAGAGTGATTTTTGTCTATTAGCATGTTGATGGCAGAGTGTTGCTGAGAAAGCACAGTTCTGTACCACGTTAGCTAGGTAGTGTTGATGATGATCTCTGAGCATTTGCACTTCCTTACTGCTGGCTGATGCTTGACTTCCTTGGGTCTCTTGTCTGTTGCAAGATTTGTGCTGTCTTGTCTATTTGCATGTCTGCACTTTTAAATCACAAACACCAGCATTCACAAGTGGCCTTTGAATGCCTTTCTCAAAGTATTGGGATGTTATTTGCAATTTGTTGTGCTAGGAAATACAAGTCTGATGAGTCATTATATCCTTGAACTTGGTTGACTGAAATAGACTGAATGAGATAGACTTTTCAGGTTGGTCCATGTCTCAAGAAAATTTGTCCTTTACTTTAGCAGAGATGGAGAAAGGGTAGCACCTTATTGACTGTTAACCTTAAGGCCTTACCTCTTGTAATTTTGTGAGCATTTAGGCTTACTGAATTACTGCTGGTAAATGGACCAGAAGATACCGCAAGTAGGTTAGCTCCGTACTAGGTTATCATAGGAGGGGCTGAGTCAGTGCAGGCAGACACTGGCTCCGTCCAGCCTCTTCATGGTTCTTTCTTGTCTACTGCTTGTCCCACTGCACCAACAGCTTGTCCTTGTCACCTTTTAACTCAGAAGCGCTGTACGTGCTGGCAGGTGAAATCCAATCCAGGTGACTTTAGTACTTTGGTGGGAGTGTTGGGCAAGTACTAGCTTATGGGGAAAAGCCCGACTGCATTTGTAGAGAGAACAATGGTGGAACTGAGGTTCGAGCTCAACCACTGACTTCTTCAAGTTGCTCCTTCCAGACTTCAGTCCTTTTGTCCCTCAGATAGGATAATATAAAGGTCTATTTTTAGAAAAAGAGACTCTTAATGAAGTTCCCTCCTTTTTGATGGCTCTTTCTTCTCCCAGTTCTCCCTCTTCACTGCTGTCCATAAGCACTACAGCCTCGAGCAGTGGAAAGAGTTTGCTAGCCAGAATCCTGACTGTCTTGAGGTAACAGTGGTCCTCCCCTGATCCACTCCTTAGCCCAGTCTTCCGGGAATCTTTGTTTGGCTTCCTGGGGACCAGCCCTTACCTCCCCACCCCTGTTGGCTAACCAACCAGGTCATTTCTTACATGCTAATGGCCCTGTTTCTCACACAGCATCTGGCTGCCAGCTCAGGCACAGGCTCTGCTGACTTTGAGCAGCTGGGACAGATCCTGGACGCTATTCCCCAGGTGAAATATATATGTGTGGACGTGGCCAATGGCTACTCTGAACACTTTGTTGAATTTGTAAAGGATGTGAGGAAGCGCTTCCCTGAACACACCATCATGGTATGTCTCTACTACCCTGTAGTGGGTCCATTCCTCTCCTTCCTCCACTCTTTCCCGCCACACCATTTTGTTACACCAGTTCCTTTCTCCTCTGCTGCATTTCCTAGTCCGCTTAATCATGTCACTGGGTGATGATCCATGGTTCCATGCTTTAAATGTTTGTGTACTGGCCAGTGCCGTCTTCTCCGAACCTTGATACCTAGTCTACCTAGTCTTTGTAAATCCAGTGTCCGACATCACTCACTAAACCACAATGGAACATTTCTGCATCGTACATACCTCTGGTACATACACACCTGCCCAAAGGTATGGAGAGATACTACAGTTATATTGAAGGGGATGCATGAAATGTTGTTTTATTTTATTTTATTTTTACAAGCTCAGGGGAGTTATGACAACGCCTCACTTTCTCCGCAGCATTGAGTGGTCTCTCTGTTCTGTCCATCAAAAGCAAATACAATTGTGTAGATGGGTATTTAGCCGACATTACCATGTCCTCCCCGTTTCCCTGAAGCCAGAGAGGTTTCATGACATAACAGCTTAAGCAAAGGATGTGTTTGGGTCTTTTGGAGGGGAGGGGGAGATAAATCTACTGTAAATCAGATGTGAGCTTGTTCCAGTTGGACCCCCGCTTTACCCTAGTACAACGGTGACACTGGCCACTCACCCCCTTACCTCAGCTTGGAAAGCAGGGTCCTTTGAAGTGACTGGTCTAAAAGCCCTCAGAAGGCCCAAGTAGAGGGAACCAAGGTACTCTTCTTTGTAATAATGCTGGAAGCACACGATCGGCTCTTTCTGACCCTAAGAATGCTGTTTTGATGCTTCTGTCCCAGGCAGGGAATGTGGTAACAGGAGAGATGGTGGAAGAGCTGATTCTCTCTGGGGCTGACATCATCAAAGTGGGAATTGGACCAGGTAAGCTGGTTCACTGGGGGCCACTGGCCACCGCTTCAGTGGCAGACACCTGTGGAGAACTTGCCTCTCATTCTTGTCACGTTCTTCTCAGGCTCTGTGTGTACCACCCGGAAGAAGACCGGAGTTGGGTATCCACAGCTGAGCGCAGTGATGGAGTGCGCAGATGCTGCCCATGGCCTCAAAGGCCACATCATTTCCGTAAGGCCAAGAGCAGGGTAGGGTATGAGGCTGCCAGACATCTGGGTTCTCTGCCAGGTCTGGAGGCTCTGGTAGAGGTGGATCAGGACTCCTGGGTTCCTGTCAGCTTTGAGGTGGGCCACTGGGACCTCCTAGAGGGCTTGGGGCATCCATACTCTCCCTTCATAGTGCTCCTTACTTTGCAGGATGGAGGCTGCAACTGTCCCGGGGATGTGGCCAAGGCTTTCGGTAAGGAGGGCACAGAAGGAGGATCCTGTAGAAGAGGATAAGTCACCTCTGAGGGTCTAGGATCAGGCTAGGGAAGTCTAAGAAAGCTGTTCAGATTCTTTTATAATGACTAGTGACCCAGAAGCCTGTGGTGTCATCTGGGGCAAACCAGCAGGGGAAGTCCTGAGACTCTGATGTGGACTCTCCTAATGTGGACCAGGGCCATCTGCATCATCCCCTGGACTGCGGGACAGTGCAGATGCCGAGCCCCACCCTGGACCCATGGCATCTGGCTCTGGGGAGTGGGGCTACAGATCTGCATTTTCCCAGCTTCCTAGGTGATCCTTGTTCACACTGAAGTTGGAGAGCTTTGCTCTTGGGACACTTGAAGTGAGTCTTGTTCGGCTGGGCAGAGTAAAAAGAGGTGACCAGAAGATGGCGAAAGCAGCAAAAAGGAGAGAGCAGAAGCCAGGCAGGGCGTCTCCAGAGGCTCTATTTTAAATATTTGGAAAGTCCACTGAGGAACAGAAGCCAGGGCAGAGTAGGCCTGTGCACTGGATTGTGGGCCAGTTAGGGAAACAAAACCAGGAAGATGCCAGAATCATTGGCAGGCCTGAGAATTTTGTGTGAGTTGCTTCTGAGGGTGACCATGTTGGAACCTGGGCCAGATTCATCTCTTTCCACTCTTGTTGGTGCTGGCAGGGGCAGGGGCTGACTTCGTGATGCTGGGCGGCATGCTGGCTGGGCACAGCGAGTCAGGTGGTGAGCTCATCGAGAGGGATGGCAAGAAGTACAAGCTCTTCTATGGCATGAGTTCTGAAATGGCCATGAAGAAGTATGCCGGGGGCGTGGCTGAGTACAGGTAGGTGTGGAGGCCAGAAGCTGAGGGTTCTTGGAAAGCGTGACTTGCCAAGTAAAGTGGTGGCAGAACTTGGAAGAAAAGTGATGAACAGGGACTAAATCCTAGAGATTGGGGAAGAGTCACTGGGCTTAAGAAATCCAGACAGAAAAGGTAAGAAAGCTTTTCCTCTTCTAAGGGCCTCAGAGGGAAAGACAGTGGAGATGCCCTTTAAAGGGGATGTGGAACATACTATCCGAGACATTCTTGGAGGCATCCGCTCCACCTGTACCTACGTGGGAGCAGCTAAGCTGAAGGAGCTGAGCCGGAGAACTACCTTCATCCGTGTCACCCAGCAGGTGAATCCGATCTTCAGTGACAAGAGCTAGACCTGAGCAGTTCTGCCCTCCCAGGGCGCCAGCACCCACCACAGGGCTCCCCAGTGGGCCCCTCTCCCATCCCAGCTACTAGGGCTATTACTTGGTCATTTCCTATCCTCTCTCTGCTAAGGGCTCCTGCAGTATTCTGTACTTTATCTGCACATGCAAAATGCCCAGGGCACCCACTGGGGAGGAAGCAAGGAAGGCAGGCTGAGAAAATAAAGTTAAGATAATCAAATGGGAATCTGGGGACCCAGAATCCTGAAGATTATTAAAAGGAAAAGATGCTGATTCATACATAAGTGTTTTATATGGCCTTGGTCTGGAAGAGGTGGGCTTTTAGAATCATGTTTTGTTAATCAGATTCATTAAATAGATCTTTGAATATCTACAAAGCTCAGAAGTGTTTATGTATTTTAAATACCTCAATAAAGAGAGATCCCAATGACTTTGAGATTCTGGGGATTTCTGCACAAGGATGGCATCTGGGTGCTGCTGCAGGGCAAGTGGAGGAGTTGGCACTGACCCAGTGGAGTCAAGGACAGTGAGTGCCCTTTCCATGAAGCATCTCCATTCTAGTGCCACCACCCCCAAGTAACCTGGCAGCGTGAGAATTTACAAGTATATTCTGGCATCAGACCACACACAGTATTTTCAGAATAGCAAAAGGAAATTTCTCTTCTAGGCTCTCAGCCCTGGTAACCCTTTTGGGCATGTCTGAACAACACTCTCCAAGGGAAGTAAAATGGCAAAGGGATCCCCTTCCAGCCCTGGAGAGGCCGGTTCTGTTTCTAAGGAATGACCTACACTGACCTTATAGAAGCCTTAATTCCCCTCCCTCAAACTAAGACAGTGTTTTAACAAATCCAAAATTTAATTATTAAGTATTACAAAGTAACTTTAGCAATATAGTCAGGCAACCCAAGCCTGGACTTCCACTTTATTACCCCTAAACTGCGTGAGAGCTGAGGAGGAAGGAGACAGGCAGAGTGCCGTGGGCATTCCAGTCTAATCACAGCAGTCTAGAACTGTCTGTATGGTTAGGAAGAGGGACAGACACACCACTGGGGCCAGAAGTGGGGAGGTATTCACAGAAGGTGGGGATCAGGGTGTCAAACTTTGTCTTCTGATAGTTTTCCAGAGAGTCCTGCAGAGAAGGGAGCAGGGAGATCCTTTCATCACTGAAACATGCCCTGAGCCCTCCATATCCTGCATCATATGGCTTTCTATCTCATTCTGCCCGCCCCTTCCCCAGCTTTCCATTCCTTCCTACTCACCCTTCCTTCCCTCTGGCCATTTTCTTCCTCATCGGAGTCCAAAACCAGGTCCCCTATAGTAATGTCAGAGCTGCACAGAGATGGAGGACGCACTGCAGGGAGGAAACCAGAGTCCAAGTACTCTTCTCAGTGAACACAGGACCTCAAGAGTCCCCAAGAGAGGAGGCTGTCTGATCTGGTCCTGACTCAGGATACCTACCTGACTTCCTGGCCCTAGGAGGCGATAATGACAATCTCAGGGGTTCCATGGGGCAATCCAAGCAGTTCCTAGGGTGGGAGCAAGCAAGACAGGGTGAAAGGAAAGCAGGCAGGGCATGTGCTGCTAGTAGGGAGAAGCAACTGTTGTACTTACTCCTTTTGCTCTGAGGCAGACAAGTCATTTGGGTTCTCCTTCAGAGCCCTTCCTCCCAGGGTCTTGGACGGACTCCTAGACTTGCCAGTCGAGGCTGCTCTGGTGCCCACAGCACCTGCTGGGTCTGCTGTGTGTGTCCCATGTTCTTCCCTGTTCCCAGGCTTAGATATGACCTGCGTTGGTGAACCCAGATTCCTAAAGGGGAACAGCATGACTGTGGGGCGCTCCTTATGGCCTCTGCTAGTGGATGCCCACCGGGACTGGATTCTTCGCCGGCCTAGAGGGGCCAGATTGAAATGGTGGCCAGTCAAAGTTTCCGGGTGCTTCCTTGAGGCTGGATCCTGAGGAAGGTGTGGGCCAGGCCGGGCTTTTGGCAGAGGGTCGTGGAGTGCTGGTGTTGGTTGCTGAGGAGGACTCTGCTCCATGGGCTCTGTCGTGTTCACTGAATCAGTAGCAAAGCACTCTGAAAAAGAAAACAAATCTCTTTAAAAAGGCAATATAGTAACACATGGACTCAGTCTGGTTTTTACGCCTCAGGCCCATGTAACCCTTCCAATAGGCTGCCTCAAAAGGTTGCAAGCTAAACACTCAACCCCCAAATTCTTAGTTCTCCTAGATGGTCCTGGTACCTGGAAGTGGCCACCCCATGTCCACACCATATTGGCTCAAGACAAAAGAAGAAGTGATAGAAACTCCAGGCTGCATCCAAGTCAGCACATCCTGAAGCTGTGGGCAGGGAGAGAGGCATGAAGACCACAGGCCTTGATACAACTCCACCCCCTACCCCCCACCCCAGCATTCTGCCCTTATGTGTTTTGCCCTAGCAAAACCTGCTGTGCCTGCAGTGTAGGCAGTGCTTTTTCCAACTGACACAGGTATTCAAAAAACAGCTTTTCCATGGCAGCCAGAAAAAGCTCCCCGTACTCTTGTTCAAGTTCCTGCAGGAGGAAAAGAAGCAGGTCAACACACCATTGTAAAGCAATTATATTCCAATAAAGATGTTAAAAAAAATAAAAATAAAAAAATAAATTATGTTGTACATTGTTGATGAAAGTATGTATACACTGAAGAAAAAAGCCTGAATGAATCTTCTCGATTAAAATCAGTAATGTTATTTATATTAAGCATTACTAATTTAAAATTGGGTAAACAACAAGGTCCTACTGTATAGTACAGGGAACTATATTCAATATCTTGTGATGAACCATAATGGAAAAGAATATAAAAAAGAATATGCATATGTATAACCGAATCACTTTGCTGTACAGCAGAAATCAATACATTCTAAATCAACTATGCTTCAATTAAAAAAAAGATTCAGTTGTACATTTTGAATGGGTAAATTGTGTGATATATAAATTTTATATCAATAAAGATGTTTTAAAAAGTTAAAAAAAAAAAAGGAAGCAGGTCAGAAGAGGACTAGAGAGAACAGCTACGCCATAGCTTCCAAAGCAGCCAGTCCCACCTGTAGCTTCGAAGCCAAATCAACAGAGGCTTCTGCCAGCTGCTTCACCTGCTGGCAAAAGGTTTCCTGAGCCTCTGAGATCTTCCTCAGATCCTGCTTTGTCTGTTGAGGGTAAGGAAGGCAAACAAGTTAGGGGCACGAGAATCCAGTGACCGGGAGGAGGAGCAACTTTGTTGCACCGCGTGTTAAGTGGAGGTAGGGCTTGCTCCAGGGACGACTCACGGCTTTGGGGTCCCGCACTGTAGGTCCAGACTCTGGGAAGTGGCGATGCAGGGCATTCAGAACCTGGGCCCAAGGCCGGCCCTGCAGGATCATATCCACCACCAGCTGTGAAGGGTGCTGAGCTCAGAATCCCCACGTCCGGGCAAGCTGCCCTTTTCCAACCGGTTCCACCCCCAAGCAGTCGGCCCAGGACAGGTCCTCGCATCCCGTCCCTTTCCCCTCTACCGGGTCCTACTGACTCCAATACCTTGGCCTTTAGGCCCATACACAGGCGTTCATGGTGCCGGTACCGAACCAAGCCGGGGGCAGCAGCGCGCAGGGATCGCAGAAACTCCAATACTCGCGGAAAATGCTCCACGTAGCGTCCGCGCACGACTTGCCAGCAGGCAGCGGCTACGAAGCGAAGAGCGGCGGGACCGGCCCCAGGGGGCGTGGCCATGGCCGGCGGGCCCCACCCCAGGAGCCGTACCTTTGTGTTCCTACCTCTGGCAAGGCTTCCCGCCTCCTCCTAGGGGCGCGGTTTCCGGTGGCCCTCACAGGCTCGGCTATTTCGGTCTGCGCCGGATAGTTCGCGATCCGAGACTGCGCCCTCCCATGGGCCACCGGAATCCCGGGGTTTTCTCCAACTCGGGCTGGAGCCTGAATGGAGAAGCTGGCCAACTCCACTGGCAACAGGTCGTTCTGCCTTAAACGCCGCCGCTGTCTCGAACTCAAAGGCTACTTCGCTTCCGGCTCCGCGACCAGTTTCCCTACCCGGGAGAAGGGTGGTAGTAGAACCAATGGGCCGCCAGACAGGGGAGACGTCACGCGCGTCATAAGGCCGCGCCCCGGCAGATCCGGCGGCGCTGCCGGGCCCCGACCCCGCTGCCTGGCACTTCCGACGGCTGCTGAGCAGCTGGGACCGGGGACCTGGGCCCCGCCTCCGGCCCTTTCCCGCCTCCGGCCCTTGCATTTCTTCGCGGAGCCTGCAGAGAAGGCCCGTCGTTCTCTGAGGTCTTGACTTTCTAGTCTGTAAAGCGAGACTTATGCCACTTTCCCTCTCCATCGTCTTCACCCTCTCAAATACGATTCCTTAAATCCCAGCGCCCAAACCATCGCCTGCAAAGCCTTCCCCGGGCGGCGCGCCGCTTGCAGTAAGAGTTCAACTCTTTTTTTTTACAGAATGGGAGAGGGCGCCCGCCTTTAAAAAATAAAATTCAAAGTTTGAAAAGATACATCAGATTGTTAATCTGGTTTTTTTCTAGATGGTGAGACTGCAGGAAATTTTTGTGCTTTTCTGTGTTTGATATCTTTCTTTTTAATCGTGTAGTTCTAAAATAAATAAAATAGATTTCCATTTTCGAATTTCTGTTGTGCGCTTACTCCAGTCAGCCCCCTAATACAGTTGACCGTTTTACTTGTCTTTCTCCTGGTCACCCTTCCTGGTGTCTCTCCTTATTTCCATTGTCAGGGACGGAATCTTGGCACACAGTGTATATTTTTTGTTGACTGAATTAATTACCTGCTCTGACTACCTTACAGAGATTTAGTGAAACTACCCTTTCCTTGGGCCATCTCCTTTCTTAGAGATAATGGCTCCTATATCCCTCCCTGTCTCCACTCAAGATCAGTCTTCTGAGGTGAGCCACACATTCGACTGCCCTTGGGACATCTAGCTGGAAGTTCCAAAGTACCCAAATCGGACATCTACGAAATTCTAGTTGTCTTCCTTTTTACTTTTACCTTAATTTATTCTTTCCTTAAAGTTCTGCCTTTATGTAGATCTGAGTTTCTGACCTATGTCACTTTCCTTCTTTCTGAAGAATTTCTTTTAGCATATCTTGCAAGTCAGGTCTTGGCTACAAACTCCCTCAATTTTTGTTTGATAAAGTATTACTCTTTCACTTTTGAGAGATAATTTTGCTGGATAAAAAAGCCTAGGTTGGTGGGCTTTTGTTCCCTCAACACTTTAAACATTTCACTGCACTCTCATCTTGCGTGGTTTCTGAAGAGAAGTCCGATGTAATTCTTTTTTTAATATTTATTTATTTATATATTTATTTGGTTGCTCCAGGTCTTAGTTGTGGCAGGCAGGCTCCTTAGTTGTGGCATGCGAACTCCTAGTTGCAGCATGCATGTGGGATCTAGTTCCCTGACCAGGGATCAAAACTGGGGCCCCTGCACTGGGAGCGCGGAGTCTTACCTACTGCGCCACTAGGGAAGTTCCCCCACTGCCCCGGAGTAATTCTTATTCTTGCTCCTCTATAAGTAAGATGTCCCCCCTTCTACCCCTCAAGTTTTGTTCAAGGTTTTCTCTTGGTCTTTGACTCTCTGTTCATCCTTCTTATAAGGACAAGAGTGAGAACTTTTAAGCTCCTTACATGCCAGACTGAAAACTGGAAGTTGTCTTCCATTTTAAATTCTACTCTTTCTCCTGGCCTCTGTATTTCTGTGCATGGCACCTTTCTTTACCCATGAGTCAGAAAACAAGACCTGTTTAACTCTGTCCTCTCTCTTCTCCAAATCTAAACCCTCACCAAGTCTAATCAGTTCTACTTCCTACAGAACTTTTAAACCTACCCCCCCTTTTTTTTCATTCTCACTGACTGTATCTTATTTCAGGTTCCCTGTCTCTCACATTGAGAAGACTCTAATCTTCTCACCTCCAGCCCAACTCCTAATTTCTTTTCCATGTTGCTTTCATCATAAACCTGCTGAAATGCAAAACTGATCATATCATCCCTAACTGAAAGCTCTCTCTTACTTTCAAAAGAAAGTCCAAATTCCAAAATACGGCAAAAGGATTTTTAATGAACTGGCTAAGTTTACCTCTTCATCAACATTCCTTGCCACTTTGCACTTATCATGCCTCCCCTTCAATTGGATTTGGATTTTCCAAATATGCTGTGTTGTCTCATATTTTGTGCTTTGCATATACTGGATGATTCCTCTGTCCTTCTCGCCTCTTGGACTTGACTTTTTTTCATCTTTTGTGGCTCATCTGATAGCTACCTCCATGAAACCCCTCATGTTCTCTTCCCAGACTCCTCAGCATCACCCTGTACATCTTTTTTTTTTTTTCCACACTGCGTGGCGTGTGGGATCTTCATTTCCTGACCAGGGATTGAACCTGCGCCCCCTGCAGTGGGAGTGCGGATTCTTAACCACTGGACTGCCAGGGAAGTTCCCCCCCACCCTACATCTTTTTATCACCACCACTGTCATGCAGAATCTATTTTGCAATGTTGTTGTAAGGATTAAATGAATTAGTAAATATAAAGCACTTAGAACAGTACCTGGCTCCTACTAAATACTACATACGCATTTACTGTATTTTGAATGTTTTCGTGTCTGTCACCCCCACTGTTGGGAGCCCCTTGCGGGAAGGACTTGCTTCTTTCTCATACATGTTATGTCACTAGTGCCTTATGCAGTTTCTGGTTCATGTGTTCATGGCTAACATGAACAGCTCCTTTGTTAGTCCTCTGTGTCCTGCCCCAGGAGCCCCTTGTCTTGCAAACCTTCTCAAACTCAGAGGATCAAGAAGACTAGAGGTTGGCACTTAGAACATTGGGAACTCGTGGCTACTCCTGGCCCAAGAAGGGTGGAGGCAAGGAGAGCATGGAAAAAGTACAGAAAGAAGAAAAATGGAAGGTCATTGTCCTAAATAATTAGCGTGCATAGGAGTCAAACCCCTTAGTGAGTTTATTAAAATACAGACTTGGCCTCTGCTCCAGGGATTCTGATTCATGAGGTTTATTCTGGGGCCCAGAAATCTGAATTCTTAATAAACACCTCAGATGATTTTAATGCAAGTGGTCTGGGATTATGCTTGAATCCTGGGGTAAGAGAACAGTTTCATTCAAACCAAAGCCCAGATCCTCCAAAGGTCACCCAAAGGAAAATTTCCACGTAGAAGAGAGCTATACAAAGGGTGTCTCTGAGCCTCACCTTTCCTCACAGTTTCCTTTCTCTGGTGAGGGACACTAGTCCCTGTATCAGTGGATGGGACCACCTATCTGTCCTGTTCCATGAGCCAGAAACCTGGTGTTTAGCTTTACTGCTCCTTTCCACCCTCCACCCAGCCACATCCCATCCTTCCCCAAACCCTGTGAATTTTCCCTCCTAGATATTTCTCCAAGTTTTCCACCTCTGTCTCCAGCACCACTACTCTGGCCCAAATCACCATCTCTAGCATAAAATATTACAACTGTCTTCCAATCTGTGTCTCTGCATCCACTCCAGCCCCGCTCCAATCCATTACCTGACACCACAGGCAGAATAATCTGTTCAAAACACACAATGTGATCATGTCACCTCCAATTCCTTAAACCTTCCAAAGGCTTAAAGTGGCCTATGGGGCCCCACAAGGCTCTGCCCTGCATCTCTCAGCTTCACCTTCTCCAATCTGTCCCTTGCTCTCCTTGCTTTAGCCACACCATCCTCCCCCTCCTCCTCCTCTCCCTCCTCCTCTACCCTCCCCCTCCCCCTCCTTCTTCTCCCTCTCCCTCTCCTTCTTCTTGTTTTGTTTTGGCTGCACTACGCGGCATGCCAGATCTTAGTTCCCCAACTAGGGATCGAACCTGTGCCTCCTGCAGTGGAAGCACAGAGCCCTAACCACTGGATCTCCAGGGAATTCCCCACACTGTCCTTCTTTTAGTCTTGTTTACTCTTCTAGATGCCCTTCCACCACAGGATCTTTGCACAGGCTATTCCTTTTGCCTGGAGTGATTTCCCTTCCATCTCTACCTACCTATCCTCCAGGTTCACCTCTCTAGGTAAAGCTTTCCTAACCACCGCCACCAGGCCAGGTCACACACCTTCACCATAAACGTCAGAGCTCTGTAGGTACTCTCCTTTGTCTTGTGCAGTTATTCAATTAATCTGTTCCTTTCTCAGACTGTAAGCTCTGTAAGGCAGGAACTAGGTTTGCCCTGTGTTCTAGCACTTTGCCCATTGCTTGGCACATGTCATTGAATATTTGTTAAATGGGTGGAGGAATGGGTTCATTATCTGCTACTATGGCTGGACCCTGCCAGTCAGAGTCTCCTGTAAAATTCTGCACCAGCTGTAGACAAAGATATAAGTCATAACTTATAAAATTTTTCTTTTAAATTTGTAATTAACTCCACCTGGTTTATTGTCAGGAAGATAAAATCTTCCTTTTGATGTTTTTACCTTTCCCAGAATTTCCTAAGAATTGTGACCAAAAGGGCAGAACTTCCAGCTTCCATGCCCGTTTGGGGAGAGCTCTGCTGCCTACAGGGTCTGCCATGCTTCTTCCACCCACTCAATGTCATCTTAGAAAACCAACAACAGGGATTCGTACTTGAGCTCTCAGGACTCTACATCCGGGTCCAGACTTTTCTCCCTGGCCTAAGGGGCTGCAGGAGCTTCCAGCATTAGCCCCAGACTTTGCCAAGTCAAACCCACCTACATGGGATTCATGCACCCTGGTATCCAGCCTAGTTCTCCAAGGCTGGGATGGTTTCTTTCCCGGCTATTGGGCTTCAGTTGAAGCTACCATAGTCCACACTAATGTTCCCAACTTTAAATCTTGGGCCAGAAGGAACTGATAATACTGGGTCTTTACACTCAGGAAAACCTGGGCTACTGATGCAAAGAATCCACCTCCTCCCTAGTGATCAACTTTGTATACCAGGTGTCCCAGGAGAACCAAAACTGGTGACCAAGACTCAGAGATAATGACTGCCTTATCACTGTCCAGAAGGCATCAACTAAGTCGGCAACTCTAG